AGGCCGAGAAGCGATATCCCTAGCTGCTTTCAGAATTCTCTCTTTATCCTTGTATTTTCCCGGTTTCACTATGATATGTCGTGCAGAAGATCAATTCAAGTCTGAAGGGAGTTCTCTGTGCCTTTTGGATTTCAATGCCTGTTTCCTTCCCCAGATCAGGGAAGTTCTCAGCTATGATTTGTTCAAGTACACCTTCAGCCCCTTTCTCTCTCTCTCTTGTTCTTCTGGAATTCCTATGATACGGATATTGTTCTGTTTGATTGCATCATTTCATTCTTTAATTCTCCCCTCATACTCCTGGATTTTGTATCTTTTTCTCAGCTTCCTCTTTTCCCATAATTTTATCTTCTAATTCACCTATTTTCTCCTCTGCCTCTTCAATCCATGCTGTAGCCGTCTCCATTTTATTTTGCACCTTGTTTGTAGCATTTTTAAATTCATCATGACTATTTTTTAGTCCCTTGATCTCTGTAGCAATAGATTCTCTGCTGTCTTCTATGCTTTTTTCAAGCCCAGCAATTAGTTTTATGACTATTATTCTAAATTCTTGTTCTGTTATATTGCTTAAATCGGTTTTAATTGATTTGTTAGCTGTCACTACTTCCTGGAATTTCTTTTGAGGAGAATTCTTCCGTTTCATCATTTTGGCTAGTTTTCTGTCCCTTTTGCATTTTAAAAGCTTGTTGTATGCTCTGCACCTGCGAGCACGTGCTGTATTAAAGGAGGGTCACGTACTGGCCAGGGCCTGGCCCTTCAGGAGGTGTTTTTTCGGGTCTTGTTACTTGCTCTCTGTTGTTGTGACTTTGGTTATTTTATTACCCTACTCATAATAATATTTTGGCCCCTCTACCAGATATGCCTTGATTTGTTCATTGGAGTAGCCCTGTAAAGGGAAACAGATGGACAAACAGGAGACAAAAACACGCAAACACACAAATAACACAAACAAAAAACCCCTAAAGACTAAAAACAAAAAACCCCAAAACACCAACTACAAGTAAAGAAGAGGGTGGAGGTGGTGCTGATGGAAGAGCACATACAAAGAGAGAAATGACTGGGGTGGGGGGGAGGGAAGAAAAAATAAATATTGGTTGGGCAGAGAGACTAAAAGGCTTAATCCAGAGAGGGAAAAAGGAAAATAAAGAAGGAGGTGGGGAAAACGAAATGAGGATAAAGTTGCCCAGACAGAGAAACTATATGGCTTGAAAATTCCAGAGAGAGAAAGGAGTATAAAGAAGGAGGTGTAGAACATGTATCAAGACAACGAATTAAATATGTCTGTTTAGACAGACCAATAACCAGAGTAACCAGCCTAGGGGAGGGAAGAGATAAGGAGGAGAAATGGGGGAGGGGGAAGAATATATCTATATATCCAGAATTGACCTAGAGTTAATCCAGGCAATGCTGCATTGCTTGTTGGTGGTAGCTATCCTCAGGGTCTGTGCCGCTCCAGGGGATAGGCAGTTACCCAGTGCAAGGGGGCGTGGTTTGGTGTGGTCGGAACCCACCTCCACTAGGAGCCCCGGAAGTGATCCCTGAGTCCCCACCTTGGTGGTGGTGGGGGCAGGGGCAGAATGGTGATCCCCCAGTCTCTTCACGGATCCCGACCTGGTGAACTCAGTTTGAGTGGTCCTCACTGTGCTGCGGACACAGACGGGGGGTGGGGGGGGCCGCAGTCCTTCTTACTCCGCCAACTCCCCTGACCCTGCACTTGGCTAGGATTCAAAGTCCCGCTCCGTGAGCTCTGATGCTGGGGAAGTGCTTCTAAATGTGGTGATATGTGGTCCCGGCTGGCTTTGTGCCGCCGCACTTCAGGGAGGACCGCCTTCTCTTACCACGGACTGAGTCTCTGCCCTTGCCGCCTGAGACCCCGCCATGGCGGATGGCGGACACAGGCAGGCTTTGTCTTTTCCCACAGCACTCCAGGGACTCAGCGGCCGTATCCTCCTGCAGACTGAGCCCCTGGCCCAGCCGCTGTGCCCGGGGGTGGCGGATGCAGGCAGGTTCTGTGCTATTGCGCAGCCCTCCAGGGCGGGAACCACTTTCTCCAGCTGCGGACTGAGACTCTGACCTACCACCACACCCAGACCTGGCTCCCCCCCTCCCCAGGTGCGCGAACAGAGGCGGGACCCATCCGAAGAAAGTTGCAGTTAGAGATTGGATCCCTCTCAGTCTCAGTCCCAGGTCTATCTCCAGTACCCATAGGACCGGTCCTGCACTTTTCTAGCTGCTTTTTCTCTTCCCTTTGTCTCTCCACAGAAGGGGGTCCCTCCCCTCCATGCTCACGTGGCCTTTTTTTTTTTTTTTTTTAATCTCCCCCAGTCGCAGTTACCCACCTATCTTTTTTCCAGCTTTCCCATTTTCTTCCTAGTAGATTCAGTCTCTTTCCTCCCAGGCCCTGGTGTTCAAAGTCCTTTGGCTTCTACACTTCTTTGAGAGACACGGGAAGTATGGATTCCCCCTACTTCTCTGCCATGTTGGCCGCCCTCCAGCAACTACGAGTTCTTTAAATATTTTGGATATTAATCCTTATCAGATATATGATTTGTAGATATTTTCTTCCATTTTGTAGGTTCTCTTTTCATTCTGTTGGTTATTTCTTTTGCTGTGCAGAGCTTTTTCATGTGATGTACTCCTATGTATTAATTTTGTTATTGTGCTTTTGCTGTCAGATCAAAAAAAAAAAAATCATTGCCAAGACCAATGTCAAGAAGTGTTTTTTTCTTCTAGGAGTTCTATGGTTTCAGTTTTTAGGTTTAAAATTTTAATCCATTTCAAGTTAATTTTTGTAAGTGGTGTAAAAGGTACAATTTCCTTCTTCTGCATATGGATATCCAGTTTTCCTAACACCATTTGTTAAGGAAACTGTCTTTTCCCTACCAAATATTCTTTGCTCCATTGTCTAGTGTTAATTGGACATATTTGCATGTATTTGTTTCTGTTCTATTAGTCTGTGTGTCTATTTTTATGCCAGTACCGTACATGTTTTAATTACTATTGCTTTGCAGTGTAGTTTGAAATCAGGAATTTCGATACCTCCAGTTTTGCTCTTCTTTCTCAGGCACTTCTGTTTTTGTCCATGAATAGATGCTGAGTTTTTCTTATTGCATGTGGAGGGGGGAAGGGATGACTTATGCTGCCATGATGCATTGTCTTACCATATTAACAAAGTGTTTTCAGAATTATTAAACCAATACCACCGATAACAACAAAACTGCTAAGTAAATTTAGGATTTCTTTGCAGTTCATTTTGTCTTTAGAATATATCACATGTTAGAGAACTGTGTTCAGATTTACTTGAATTAATTTTATTTTTTCTATGGTGATGTTTCCCATTGGTATATACTTAGGACCACGTGCTTGTATTTGCATTCTGTTTACATAAAATTTCCCTTTTCATTATTCTTTTATCCCTTTATAGTTTTCATCCTCTTACATTTTATTTTCAACATTTATACTGTTTCAAAGCCTGTTTTTTAAAAGACCTGCTGGATGTAGAGGGAAGCAAATAAAATGAAAATATTTCTGTGTCATCACATATATATATATATTTCAATCAGGCTACTTAGAATAAGAACTTTGAATATTCTTTGATTTTAAAATATTTGGACCACAAATGTATTTCAGAACATGAATGGCATTTATGTGTCAGGTTTTCTTTAAGAAAACTAGCCTATAATTCTCACTTAGTAGCTATATTATCTTCTGTAGTAAAGTGGGGTCTGTTTACTTATAGAGTTAGTAACTAGTTCATTCTCTAATTATTATCCATAAATCTTTCCAGGCTAAGTGATCCTCTGAGTTTTTATCAGAGACCATTTAATAATACTGATGGTAGACTTGAGCTCAAATTTAAATGGGCTTAGTTATTATTCCTTTGCAATATCTCTGGGACTCCTTGATGTTTTTCTCCACTTATTGAACTATCACCCTAGCAAAGATTTTCATTTTTTCCTTCTTTCTTCATTCTTGCATGCTGCTGCCAGACTAATGTTGCCTAAATACTGCTTTTGTCATTCTCATTCAAGAACTTTACAGTGGTTGCCTGTTGATGATAGTGGCATTAAATATGACTTATCTGCGTTGGGCATTCAGAGTTTTCTTGAATCTCATCCTTCTTATCTCTATTATACTCATGAGAGCCTTCTTATCTCCAACTGTTATACTCATGAGAGTCATCACTTAGTTAGCACTTATAATACACCAGGTACTGAGAGAATGATGCATTATTTTCTGCTTTGTGTTGCTGTCTCCATGCAGAGAAATTCCCTTATCCTTCACCATTAAAGAAACTTTATATCCTTTAATGGTATCTGTTGGCATCTTTTCATCAGTCAATCATCATCTCATGGCATTAGCACAAATAATTAAAATAACAGGGGTTTATTGTCAGGTTACTACAAGTACCTTCACATACCTCCAAGAAACAAAATAGTGCCTGATCTCTTGAGGACCAGACCTCAAAAATCAAAATCAGAGCAACATTCTCCATCTTCCTGGGCCAGCATACTTTTATTCTCTTCTCCATCATCCTCTCTTTCCTAGACCACAGTGATGGCTCATCCCAACTGTACACCAGGATCTCTCACTGCCCATAGTCAGCTGGCAAGGGACTTGCAGGGATCTTGCAGGGATCGTGGATGGAGCAGTTTTAAAAAGTTTATCAAAAGGGAAGTGAATAAAAGTAGGTTGGATCTTATTTATCAACTTTCAAGATGATTTTATTTAAGATGAGATAGCAAATTAAATATTTTTATAATTTGAATATTTTTTATGTCCTCAGGCATACCGTGGCAAATAAAAGACAGTTTGTCAATTAAACTGCATTTATTTATAGATTGTTGTAGATTTGTTTGAATTTTTATCTATTAATGAAAAAAGACATGACATATGAGAGGAAGTAATAATTTTGCAAATAGATAGTTACCCTTTAATGTTTAGAAAACATGGCCTTTTTTGGATACAAATCTAATTGTAATGGCAATCTTCTCCTTCTTCAGTTTTGCAGACTCCAGCTGCTAGCAAGCATGTATCTGCCAAAGATCCAAAAAAGCTGAAACAATCTAGAAGCATTGACTGTTTTACAGGTAATTAAAATTGGGATAAACTGTTTTTCCAAAAAATTTAAAGATAGTTTTTATGTTTCCCTTTTGGTAAAAATGTGTATTTTCTGTTTCAGAATTAAGTGTAATGAATAAAATAAAGAAGAATAAGCTGTCCAAAGCGATTTACTTGATGCAGAAAGCTCTTCTAGTATTTGAAAAAGATGCAGCCTCTACATGTTCACACAACTTTTTGATGGTAACAGCATGCCATTCCTTTTTTTTTTTTTTTTTTACTCCTGACATAACAACCATTGTTAAATGAATGATTTAGTTCCCTTTGCTAAAAATAATGTGTTCGTTAGATTATGAACTTTTAGGGTCCCTATATCTAGTCCTCTCTTTTGAGAAGTAGAATGGTTCTGAACAGGGAACTAATTTGTATTGCCAGTCCTGAACTCTCCTAAAATGATAGATCCTCTCACTGTATTTTCTCTTTGTAGGGGCAACTTACATTGGAAGCCAAATAAAATCAGAAGGATTAAAAATAAGGGAAACTATAGAATTTAAGTGACACTATGCTAGCATAATGCATTCCTTACTATGGAATTAAAATACTTCAAGTCCATTGGCTCACATATCTCCTCTCCGGTGGTATTGCTGATTTGTGGACCAAATGCCTTATTATCTTACTCTGACCTGGAAATTGTTCTGTCTTCTTGCTGATTCATTGTATATTGATTTTAGAGTTTAAATTTTTGAGGGCAGTAAAATTTAAAGTTAGGGGATTTTTAAAAATTTTGTCTCTCATACTGTATTACCCATAAAAATTTGATTGTATTGGCTGAGTGAATGGCACATGGTGAAGTAGAGAATAATGATACAAGTAGTTTAGCTGATAAGAGAAAGACAAAAGTAGGTCAAAGCTAGGGAGAAGATACAGAGTTTAAGAAGAGTTTAAGAGAAAAAGTTTAGCATATTTATATAATGAGGATGAAGAGCCAGAAGAAAAGGAATTGAAGATATGAGAGGGGTTAATGATAGAGCAGAATCCTATTAGAAGAGGGAAGGAGATGATTGAAAACACAGATAAAGTGATTCATCTTCAGTGGAGGGTGGGCTGCAGGGCAGACGCCTCATCCTCTGATATAAAAGGGAAGGAGGAAGAGACTGATGTAGATTAGAGTGAGTCTATTAGTGTGGAGGCAGAGAGTTGAGTTGATGCCTTCTTATGCCAATCATCTGATAGAGTAGGAAGCAAGGGATATCTGCCAACAGCGGAGAGCAAGGGTGGACAGTTGGACCGAGGAGAGAGAAGATGGTTACAGAGTGGAGAGGAATGAATGAGGAATGGATGGGGAAGCTGACTCCAAGTTAAAGGACTGGCCAGCCCAAAGTTCTGGCTGAAGTTGAAGACCATGAATTTTTAAGAAGCCCCATCTGAATAGTGGTATGACATTATCCTGGTGTGTTATTTTTAGTAGCTGTGACAGCAGAATATTTGTGACAGCAGAAATATGTACAGGGCTGGATTTTTACAAATGATAGTATGGGTTAAAAGTTCATAATAAAAATGGGTACAGAATGAGTGAGAGGGAAATGACACCCTCACGGTCTTTAAAGGCTTGGTGACTAGGAAGATGTCAAGAGACTAGACATCTCTGTGAGGTCAGAGACCAGAAAATCAGAATCTGAGAGAGCTGGAAGGATAGGTATTTGAGGTCAGAAAGTAGGATATTGGAATTTAAGATTTCTGATATATAGCACTCTCTGATCATCTGTCCATTACTTCATCCAAAAAATGTTTTTGAGTACTTACCATCCATTCAGCAAATATTTATTGCACATTGATTGTGTGCCTGGTATTATGCTGAGTACAGGGGATAAAAACAAATTAAATCCTTTATTTATTTAAGAAATATTGATGGGTTGCCTTCTCTTTGTGGTCCCTGCCTTCAAGATAAATCCAGTCTGTGGGAACATAGATAAGTAAGTAGGTAATTATGGGTCATTGCTATAGATGCTTTCATTGCAAAGAGTGCCAGGGGAATTAGGCAAAGGAGTACCCAACCCAGCAGTGGGTAATGTTTAAGGAAACATACAGAAAAGGAAATACTGTAAAGGAAATTTCTGTAAACATACAGAAAAGGAAACATACAGAAAAGTTGAATACTGACAGGCAGAGAAAGAGGAAGACAAAGGGTGGAAATGATATTATGGAAGAGAAAACAACATGTACAAAGTTCCTGAAGCTAGAAATCTCATAGAGTTCTTGTGGTCCTATAGGTCTCAGTGTCACAGAAGCATAGATGCAAGGGGAGGGGTGGGTATTGGGATAAGATGGTAAGAAGAAGAGACCACAGAGGAAGTCTGAGGATTTTGGATGGACTGATGCTATTGGTGTTCAAGGTTGGTAAGTCCGTCCTGGCAGTATTAGGGGAGAGCCTTATTAAATTTGAATATCTAGCATTTGAATGAAGGAGTTTTATGATAGTTTGGATAGTCTCAGATGACTGGTGCCTGATTTTTTTGGAAAACTTTGGGGGTGTATTCAGATTCATTTTCTCATCAGATGCTTCTGAAGCCCCTTGCTACTATCTGGTACTTGGAGGATACTAATACTTCAGTCCTATTTCTACATCAAATAAAACTTATCTTTCTTTTAGAACTGTTTCTCTCAGGAGTAATTTTGTGGCCTCTCAGAGCCTGGAGAGAATAAAGCCTCTGGGATTTTCCCTTTTGTTTTATTATGACTGAATCTGGTCTTCGTGCTGTCATAATATGCTCATTCCCCTGTTATATCTCTATCTTCCTACCTTTGACACTGGGGGACACACTGGAGTTGTGAGAAGTCAGAAGTTTTCATGCTTTTCTCCCTGTGTGCCTTTTCCTTCTATTTCTTAAGTGAAACTATTTTAACTTAAGAAAAATTGTAAGTATAATGTCCTCTTAGGATAGAATCATGAGATGCATTTAGAGGCTCTATTTTTTTTTTTATGAGGGGTCCTCCACAAGGATTTCACCAACTAGGAACATGTTGAATATTTATTTAGAAGTTCTGAAATCATCTATAGCCACCTCTGCTCCTCAGTGGTAGTTTTTTATCCAAGTGTTAAGGCTTAATGATCAGTCCTTAGAGTACTCTCGTAAACAATGATGTTATGGCTCAAATAATTGCCAAACTTTCTTTCTTTAAAGAAGACAAATAAATTTCTTTCCCTTGGCAATCATTTCTGCTGGGGTATATTACAGAATGGTTTACATTATCATGATTTTGTAATAAAGTTATCCCCAAATCAGTAACTGATGTGTCACCTGATACCATAAAAAGGTTTGAAAAGCCTGGGTCTTTTTCTTTTCAGAACTCTTAAATAATTCATACCCTGTTTTAGTTTTTCAGAAGTTTCCTGACCTTGTGGAGCTGCATAATCTCATCAGGTGTCCATTTTATTCCTAATCAGTTATAAGTGGACCAACTTGTTGCCAGGAGTGAGAGACAAACCTTTGATAATAGCTTGTTAGCTTTCTAAATGAAATGACTGGTTTGTTTTTTGATTATGGGGATTTCCAACCCCCCCCCCCCTCTTTTTCCTGTCTTGGTTATTGGGCTTCTGAAAGTCCATGTTGGCTTTTTATTACATTAGCGGTAATTGGATTACTAAGTATAATTATTCTTCCTATTTTATAGCATTTTAGTCAAATCACTTCTATTTGCTTTTGGGGAAAGAATATATGTAAATCAATTTTTTTTCAGAGATCTTATCAGCTCTTTTTAATTGTTCCATGTTGAAGTCTTTCCCATAAAGAGCAAATTCTTTCTGATTCTGACCCCCTCCTGTGAAGTCATATTTTGACCCCCTAGACTTCAAACTATTGACGGGAGATTTTAGCTGACTTACATTTCAAGTTTTAACGGTATTTCATAGGAAACTTCATCCAGGTTGCCTTTCCATGCTTCTTTTTAACTTAGCTTTGTATTAAGACAAGATACATAGTAGTTAGGAGTATAGGGTGTTGGGTTAAAGTTTTGGTTCTGCTACTGACTAGCTGTATGATCAAGGTCAAGTTACTTATGCTCTCCTAAGTTTTAATTTCTTCATATATAAAATGGGGGTTCTTGGGAAGATTCAAGGAAATGATGCATGTAAAATGCTTAGCATTTGGCACAGAACAAGCAGTCAATAAATGTTAGCCATTATTATTATTATTACTACTACTACTACTCTGTCTTCCACTTTAAGCATTCTGGAACATTCTGTTTTATCATATCAGAACTATTTTTTGGTGTTCTAGATATACTTTCCTCTATCAAACTGTATGTTTCTTTTTGTGTTGTCTCCGAGATTGATCTTATAAATTGTATATTTTATTCTTAGCAATAAAAAAATATTTCTTTCCTGGATTCTTGGATATGACTTAACTTTTCATCTCCTTCTAAAATGTATGTAATAGTGCTGAGAATCCAGAATATACCTCAGGAGGTCTACTAGACAAGTAATAAATATGGTACTTTATTATTCCAATCTTATGATCGTTTTTTATGGATAGTTGTTAATCATGACCTTGAAGATTGCATTATATCTTTCCCCAAGTGTTTTGCTGCACTGTCGATGTCAAACGTATTTAATGTCAATCTGTCCTCGTAAGCATTGAGTAACTTCTAAAAAGAAGCAGGTCTGTTTCTCTATGGGAACTATAGGCAGAGATTTACATTCAGACAAAAGTACTTTGGACTTCAGTACAATTTTTAATGGCAATAAAACAATATGTTTTGATGGACATATTAGGCAACATGTTGGACGTGTTATAGGCAACAGTCATGTCCATACTGAGAACATTTTCTCTTTTTACAGTTGAATAGAGCTGGTTTCATGGGAATTTTTCTTTCTTGAGTTTTTGGGACTACTTTTCTGGTAATATTTTTTTCCTTTTATTTGAGGAACCCCCTTTAAAAAGCCCTAATCACTTTCTTTTTTAAAAATTGATGTGTAATTGACATATAACGTTATATTAGTTTCAGGTGTGTAACGTAATGGCTCGATATTTGTATATGTTGCTAAATGATCACTGCAAAAAATCTTATTAACTTAGGTATTTGTTATCAGTTACAAAATTTTTTTTCTTGTGATGACAACTTTTCAGATTTACTCTCTTAGGAACTTTTAAATAAGGAATACAGTATTATTAGCTGTAGTCACTGGGCTGTACATTACACCCCCATGACTTATTTTATAACTGGGAATTTGTACCTTTTGACCC